TGAAATTCGTTGGCGAGATAATTAGTTGGGCAGGTAGATCAAACGGTAAGTAGGCAGGTAAAAATATCAAAAAACATACACATATCCAAATATATGTATAGTTATGTAGGTATATATTGTGTGACCAAAAATGATTTGTAAAATTTTCATAATGAATTTAATTATAATTTTTATATCGTAAATCTGGCCAATTTTGTTAATTTTTCAGCTGATTCAATAAAATTTTTAATAATGAAAAATTTACACTGTGACTAAACTGTTTTTTTTTTGCAAATGCAACAGTAAATCTGCAATATAATGAAAGTACAACTAACAAACTAAGAATCTTAGGGAGAAAAAAGATCAGGGAGTGGTAATTGGGTGCTTTGAAAAGAATATTTAGAATTTTTTCAATAGACCTCTCCAAAAATTACAGATCTAGGTACAATAAATAAATTAAAATTTCCAGTAAATTTAAATTCAGTTGATATAAAATTTATAGTTAAGTAATAGATATTTTACATTATTATGTCTTACAAATATTTTATGCGTACATTATGTAAGGGACAATTAAATACGTTATCAATTGAATTATAATTGAAGGAGTATAAATACTGCAATTGAAGGTATCACCTTATTTTCTGTATAACAAACAACAAATCAGTTAAATCTAAATATTTTGTTCATAATATAGAAAACTATATACACTAAATAGAAAATTATATTAAATCGTAAATTTTGTTGACGTCACAATTATTATTGTGACTCATTAAATAGAGTAATTCGTTTTATGAATTGCTCGTTATATGAAAGTTTTACTGTATGATAATAAAATGCCACAAAATTCATATTACAGAAAAATTTTGTCATATTGGGACTTCGTATTACAGATTTTTTTGTCGTATATTCGCTTCGTATTTGTCCGTATATTCGCTTTTATATTTTGTTCGATCATACAATTTTCATAAAAGGTTGATTTCAAAAGAAATTCATAATTAAATGTTGTTGAGGAAATTAATAATGATGAAACAGAAAATAAAAATTATTTGTTCTTCATAAGTATAATTTTCTTTTAATTTTAATATTTAAAATTTTTTTTAATTGAAAATTTATAAGAATACTCACTTATATAACGTATTTATTGAATAAAAATAAAACAAAATGGCTTTTTTTTTTGTTTTTTTTTTAGTCAATTATGACCTTCAAAAACTGATAATGAAATAAATAACAGTAAAAATATACAAAAAAAAATATACTCTTAGCAACAACAATAAGAACAACAAGAGAAAAATAAACAAGTTGTTTGAGTGTTTGTGTATGTTTTTTTTTCTTTCATTTTTTTTCCACAAAAAAAAAATAGCTATTTGTTTAATTTCAATCAAAAGCGATGAGTGAAATTAAAAAAAAATTATTATTTTTTTTTACGTATAACCTATTTTTTTTTGAAATTGCTTTTAATTTAATTTTAAAGTAAATAATTTATAAGATGTACACAGTACACTTGTATGTGCATATGTTTGTATAAGTGTTACTCTGTAAATAAATTACGTGTAGAAATTTAGCGTCGCTTAATATAAGATTCTTGAAATTCCCACGAAATAAACCATTTAATCTAGAATTTCCCTCAAAAATTTCAAAATTCCCGCAAATGGCCCACAATCTACAAACACAAATATAAATAAACAGTAAAATTCTAAAGTAACAATAAAATTACGGTAGATAAGGATACAATACGGTAGAAGAAATGTGACTTCACATCATGCGCTCCTTTAGTTCTAGGAAAAAGTTTTAACGCCTGATCAGTTTTGTTAACATTCATTGATTTTTTTTTGAAATTTTGTGATTTACAATCAATCGATAAATTTCTATTTTTGTCCCTTTTAACTTTTTCTTCTCTCAAATTCCCATAAAATGACAAAAATTCTTCAAAATCGCAACATCGTGTACAATTTTTAATATTGACTAATATACGAGACTCGATTAAAATCGTTTTTTTTTTTGTTTTTCTTTTATTACTTTCCACTTTTAACTTTTTTAAGGAAATTTTCGAGGTCACTAAATATTTCATTATTTTTCGAATTTCCGAAATTTTCGTCTTATTTTACTTTATATCAAATTTTATTGATTTATTTGAGATTAATAGTGAAATTGCATGTTTTGTCTCTCATGTCTAAAATGTATTGATTGCATTTGTAATACACATACTTAATAAGTTGAAGTGCAACAGAATAACAAAAAGTAAAAAAAAAAAAAACAAAGAAAAAACTAACAATATTGTTTATGGAATAAAATGCATAGGCATTGCATGAGGCATTCATATGAGAAATTCATTTGCTGCAAAAGTGACATAACTCAAAAAATCCGATTTCTGAGTTATTTATACAGAAATATGCACTTAAAACATTTCTTTATTGTGAAAAAAAGCCAACTCTCTAGCTTGAAAATTGCCGGTTACAATAAATTTTAAAATAATGCTAAAACCATACAAAACTTTTTGGCTACAAAATTTAAAATTTGCTTTTCTTAAATGTGTAAATTTTGAATTATGTCAAAGTTGCAGCAAACAAGTGTATTTGTTATATGTGTGTATATGTATATGCAAGTATAAATTTTAACAAAGATCGACTATATACGCTTGTAAATTAGATTATTTAAATTGAAATTTTCGATTTAAGTATGTAAAAATATTTAAAATATTTTCATATGTTACAATATTTGTTTTACATACAACGCTTTCATAAATTAAACTAGATATTTGTTAATTTTTAACACGTTTTAAAAGTTTTTTTTTTTGCTCTGTAAACTTTTGTAATATGAGAACAATGTAAAATTTAAATTAATTTAAAATAAAGCTTTTTTTCATATTTAAATTAGAATTAATTACTTAAGTGGAAATTATTAGAAGCAATTAGAAAAAAAATTATTAAAATTATATTCTACATTGATAGAATTTTTTTTTTTAAAATTATATGGCTTTATCGAACGAACAGTATGGTATGGCGCTACGTTCGTTCGACTATACCTGAATGTCTCTAGTGATATTTTTGTATATACGAGACTTGTATGAAGCATTTAGATTAGAAATTTATAGGCATATTTAATAATAACGATGCAAACAAATGAATATATACTTAAAGAAAGTATAGCTGGTCTCCCACTCCTTTGAATAAAATAAGTAAACTAAGTAAAAATAAAGTATAGATTGTAGATTGGCTATTTCAAGTATAAAGCTACAAATTGGCCAGAAACTGCCAAATGGTGAGGAAATCCGGATCAAAACATATGCGAGAACGGATAGCCAGTATCGGGTAGTCGCAAAGGATGTGCAAAGGAATAAAAGCAAGCATAAGTTTATAATTTCTTTGATAATTGAAAGTTCGTTCAAAAATACTTTCCAATTACAAATTTGTAATTAATATTAACCCTATTAATATTAACATTCTATTAATAGTAATTACCCTAATAGGAAGTCGATTTGGTAGTATTACAAATTTATTCTTAAAGATTGAAATTCAATTCCGTCTTAATAAGTACACGTGCACTTAAAAAATCATAGTGAATCATAATAATAAAGTTTATAAAAATATCATTATACTTAAACGGGAATATTAACGGCTTCAAAATTATTATAAAATCTTTAACTACTTAACTAAATTTTTGGCACAATAAAGAGTTGTTAATATTTATTCTATCTTCATTATTAATTAAAATTGACCAAAAAAGTAGATTATCGGGTTTTGTCATAGTACCTATTTATATAGGTAGTATAGTAATACACGTGTTGACAAGTAGACATAATTAAGTACTTACATATTTCTTATTTAATTGATTTGTAAGTATTACTTATTAATATTCTTTACAAATTTAATTTAATTTAATTATTTAGTCATTGGATTAAGTACTAAAATTGCTAAATAAATATATAATACGTATAAATACATACATATATATGGGTAATTATATACTATATTTTTGTATATATTTCCCACATTTACATACATACATACATATAGAAATATTACTTAAGTAAGTATATAAGAAACAAATAAAATAAAATATTCTACTTAATATTTATATTTATTCATTTTTCTTATATACGTAAGTATATGAATATAGTATATACAATAATGTACATACATAATGTATGTAGATAATTTTTATGTTATTATTATTATTATATTTTTTTTTTCATATAACCTTATTTGACCTTCCATTATTGTTATTAATAATTTATTTTTTTTTTTATTATTATTATTCTTTTTATTGTTATTATTATTATTATTATTATAAATTTAGGAGAAAACTTGCTTTATATAAGTTTTTAAGTATACGAGTATGTATGTATGTATATCTGTTAGTATATATATATAAAGACATATGTATATATGTATATTTAAATTCAATATAATAAATACAATATTTAATTTTTTTGTTGAATAATAATTTTTTATGCTTTGTATTTTAACAAAAAAAATAAAATTAATAATAATAAATAATAAAAATAAATATAGAAATTAAAAATAAAAGAAATATGTATATGTATAATCATAATTACTTTTTTTTTACTACATGTAAGTCGACACTATAGTATAGTACACGTCTAAGTAACAAAAATTCATCTTTGAGAGCAACTCAACAATTCAAGAGCAGATGATTTGAAATTTTGACTCTATATTTTTATATAAACATAGCACTTAAATAGAAATTTGGAATATTAAAAATTGCTGTTTTAGTTCGGTGATGCTAAAAATGCACTAACACTATCACTAAAAATACCCTAATACCATTCACTTAAAATAACAATATTTAATTATTTATACATAAATACCTATTAACATAAAGACTGTAACTGTTATACATAAATTGTGTGGGTATATTGTAAAAAAATGTACTAAATCTCATTAGTTTATACCATATACTACAATCAGTATTTTATATAGTAATTTTCATAGTAAGTCCCTACTCTTATTTTTAAGAGAAACTTAAACATTTGAAAAATATTGAAATTATATTTTTCTTACCTTTATTTGTTGGCTATAGATAGCACCACTTTGATAAAAACATGTATACATCCAAATTGTTTATTATTATTTATTAATTTTTAATATAGAATACAAAATAATTAAATAGTTGAATTGTATGATAAAATCAATTTTAAAAAAATAATTTAAATTGTGTTCTCAAAAACACACTATTATTAAAACACTGATATAATCGCTCACTAATTAATTTTTTCTTGTTCTTTTTCTTTATTTTTCTATTTTTTCTTTTTGTTTTAAAAGCTCTGATTATTAAATTAATAAAAGAAAAATAAATATTACATTTTGTTTAACATACAATTTTTGAATTTATGTATACACACGTATATATATACATATTATAAGTATATTATGTACTTATTATATATAAATTAAATACTGAGTACCCATAATTCATAATATTTATTCATAAAAATATTTACTTTATAAGTATATTAAAATTTTTCTCGTATTAAAAAAAAAAATGAATATTTGAAAAATGTGAAATTATATTAAGGGTATCCCCTTTTGCACCCCCTTCTATTTTTTTTTGTTTATTATTCTTTTTGTGTTGCTATTGTTGGCGAGAATTAACGAGTATTTCTTAAAATAAATTTTCGGTTTATTTTAATATTTATTGTTGTTTTATTTGATTATAATTTTTATTATTATTATATTTTTTTTTCTGTTATACTTAAATATTGTACAATTTCCTTTGTTTTATAATATACTTTATGTAAGTAAAATACAAAATTATTTTTCAATATATTTTTTTTTTTTTAATTTTTCACTTTTTCACCATTTTTATTTTCACAAATTTTTTTTTAGTAAGCATTTTTTTATTTATAAAAATGAAATTATACGAGAACACTAATAATGAAAAATAATATAAAATTAATATTTTTCTATGCGTATGTGTGTGTAGTAACGTATTTATACACAATAAATAATACACTAAATGTAAGTATGAATGTGTACAATAATTCAATTTTTATAAAAATTTAATAAATTTATTTTAGATATTTATAAATATGAAAATTTTCCTTCATTGTTATACGGTTAATTTTACTTAATTTTTCATTTAAAATTTTTTATATTTTTAATTTATTTTATTGTTTTAAATTATTTTCTTCATAAATTATAAATCCCTGCCTGATGCACTTGAAATTTTCACTAAAATTAGTATATTTTGTATGTAAGAATGTGATACAATATGTATATTTACTGCGTATGCAAGAATATACATATGACTGCATATGCTACTTATATGTAAATATGTATGTATGTATGTATACATATAGAGTATTACATGGTTTAAATTTTATAAGTAAATGAACATTATAATCGATTTATTTAATTTTGTTTTATAAGCAATTATTGTTATTATTTTAGCACGTTTCATTATCATATGTTTTAAGGGTACTTACACATACATATATATTTAATATTGAGCGTTTTTTAAAAGATTTATTTTTGAAATGCATAGAATTCTAAAGAATAATATTTTCCATTAGTTTAACTATCAGAAATAAGTTTTCAATTTGAAATTAACAGATTGCCTTCCTACAAAATATATTTAAATTTTTTCTATTTTTTATTTAGAAAATTTCTTAAATTTGTACGTACATACTTATAAATAAAATTAATTTTATCTCAATTTCACAATATTCATTTAACATTATTCCTAAATTATTTCCTAAATTTACAAAATATTATTATACACATGTATGTGCCTAAATTTATGTACGCCGTAATCTGTAATAATCTAATATTATTTTTAAATAATTTATATAAATTATTTATTATACGAAAAATATTATAACATTATAAAACAAGTAAAAAGAAATCGATATTTTGTTCTATAAATAATAACCGTATAATAAATATTTTTATAAGTACGTACATATACATTTATGTAGATACCGAAAAAAAGTATTTAAATTGAAAGCTTTTAACCCTTGAAGGTTTTCTTTATTTTTTTTTTGTAACATGATAGCAATATGAATCAAATTTAACATAAAAAATTCGAAATGCAAGTTCATTAATAAAAATATGCAATAAACATTGTATATTATTAGGTACATACCTATTTATATACATATTGTGTGTATATATACAAAATTATAAAAATTTGGTAATTTTCACATTATGGATATTTTATTCTTATTTTTTGGCTCCTGGCTCATATAAATACTTATGAAAATTTTATCATTATTTTACTTTGCAATTTTAAATTTTATTGCATTTGAACTATTTTAATTATACATATGTACGTACATATATGTATGTGTATGTACTGTCAAACTCATTCATTTGCAACACGCATATAGTACATGTATGTATGTATGTATATATAACGTAAATATAAGTAAATTATATCAATTTTCTCTTTAATTAATTTTTCAAATCAAATTGTACCCAAAATGGTGTGCATATAAATGTCTTCGACTGTACATTATTTAAGTATGTATCTCTAAATTTGATTGCATATTGTAAACTTTTTAAAATAGAATAATCTAAATTTGAAGATTTGATAAGTTATCACCATCATTAATAAGTATTTTTGTGACACTTTTCAATTTTATGAATTAGACTTGAAATTTTTTATTTCTAAAAAAAAAAATGTATTTATGTACTATGTGTATTTTTCAGAAATTTTTCAAAATATTTCAAATTTGTGCCGATTTTCTCTCTTAATAACCAAATCTTATTATTATAATAAATTATGTACGCACACATTGTGGGTATATACAGTTCTACAAACATAAAAAGCATTTTATGTACAACCTGGTATATAAAATATTTTTTTCTTGTTATACACATCACATAACAGCTTTTGCTGTTGTTTTCTTTTTGTTTTGTTTTTCTTCTTCTTTTTTTTATTTTGTATCTTAATAATTTACATACAAACGTATAAGTGTTTATACCGTATACCTTTTTTCGTTCCGTTGTTGAGTGATTTTTTAAGTCATTCTTGTGTTTTAATGCTCAATTAGTGTTGTCGCTTGTTTTATTTAATTTTTTTTTTGTTGATTTGGTGCGCGGTTTCTTTTTTTATTTATATTTTAATTTTTAATAATTTTTATTGAAAACAAGAAAAAAAAAAGAAAATAAATAAAAAAAAATGACGTTAAAAAGCGACTGATATACAAATAAACACTATCACGTTAAAATGTCAACTAACTAATTTTATACTTTCGAGTATAAGTAGATATAAAATCGATTTTTAATTATTGATAGTTCATGAGTATCGATTATCATTTAGTAAATTTGTGAATTTTATATATTTAACATACATACATATGTATATATACATATGTATGCATATGTATATATACATATGTATGCATAGGAAGAAATATACTTTTATAGAGTATAATTGAGTATACAATAATTACATATTATAGTATACATAAATACATGTATATATATATATATACATGTATTTATAAAAAATTTAGTTTTCAATTTATCTTTTAATTTTTTTTTATTTTTTTTGAACATCTTAATAATTTTTATGCCTTTGTGCTTATTGATATACACAATGTAAGTAGTAAGTATATGCATGTGTAGGTATACATATTGTTTTTTCATTTAAAGGGTATTTATAAAAATTCATATGTACATAATGGCGAGTATTATTGCAAAAATTCCGCAAGTTTATAATTTGAAATTAATTTAAAGTACATGCATTATGTAGCTGAAATATTTTAAGATGAATATATTTTTTTACTTATATTTATTTATACGCAACGCAAGGTATTGATATGTAATATTAAATTATTTATACGTACATATGTACGTACGAACTTGAATACAGTCTAACGCGGATATACGCACACGTTTTGTTTTCGTAAATTAATTGTATTTACTTGAACTTTTTGTTTGACTAACAAATTGTTGCTTTTAATGATTTTATTTTAATTATTGCTTTCGCACAAAATTCTAATTCGAAATTATGAAATTTACATATTATATACATATGTAAGAATGACTAATTTCTATTTATAAAGATATAATTGTTTTCTATCATTCATTTTTCATACTTATGGCAAAATAAAAAATAATTTTTGTTTAAATATTGTTCTTACTTATAAATTTTTGAAAAATTTTTTATTCAATTCTATAATGCCAATAAAAAATGAAATTTCAAAAGTAAACTTGCCTTTTATTATTGGTTTATATCCTAAAAATCTATTTAAATTATTAAAATTATTCAATAAATAGGATGAAGTTTTGTATAAAAATTTGTATACACGTTATTATATTACTAAAATTTTACTGTATTTTATTAGACTACAAATAAATGTATATATATCCAAAGGGTACTTAATATAATTAAATTGTACAAACAGCACATACATATAAACACTAAATTTAGTTTAATTTTTTTTATACATATATTTATTATTAATATTTTTACTTTATATAAGTAAGCGTAATAATAATAATATAAAGATACCCATTTTCAATTACGAAAAACAAATACCTATTTTATTAGCAAGATTTTTTACTATTCCATGTTACAAACAAATATGTAAGTATATAACTAAATATAAGTATGTATGTGCATATGTATGCATATAATGTTTGTAATTATCTGTATATAATAGTGAGCTACATGAATATCTCCACTTAATATAACAGTACAACAGCATATAATATACAAAATATAATAAGTAAATATTAAATATATAATACGATTGACCAACTTAATAAAAAATAATTTAGAAATTGAATAGACTAACTTATTACAGTAGAGTCCCATTAAAATGTTCTATAACCAAATATTAAAATTTTAATAATTTTAATCAGATTTTAAATAATTATTGGAATTTTACGTTATTGAAATTGATTCCAATATTTTTAATTGAAATCAATTCCAATAACGCGAAAATAATTAACTGTTATTTTCTATTACTAGATATCAACAGAATAATTGAAAAAAAAAATCAACATACGAAGCCCTAAACAATCTAATTTAAAAGGTGACAAGCGTAATTTTAACAGCTATAATAAATACCCTACAAAAATTAAAAAAAAAAAAATAAAATTGTTTGCTATACCCAAGTTCTACTGTACTATATATTTTTTTTATATTTTAAACATTAATTTTACACTTTTTCTTTAATTCAATCTGTTTTAAATAAATATATAAATATAACCATACATACATACATATGTACATATACCACCCATAAAATTATAAATTATATATATAAACACCATATCGATATATGTAAACGTACATACATCAATACATTTTTGCTTTTGGACGAAAAATAAAAAAAAAATCGTTTTTTTTTTTCCACCATTTATTTGTTTATTTTTTTTTTTTGTTTTTGTTATTATTATTTTCTGTTATTGTTTGTCTGTTATTATTTTTGTTGCTAATTAACTTATAAATACAACAAATATTTTATAAGTAGAAATCAGAAAATATTCTTTTAGTATAACAAAATAACTAAATAAAATATCTCTCTTTACTTCTCTCTCTCTCTCTCTCTCTCTCGCTCACTCTGTTCAATCCTCAATTATCTAACTACATTTCTCAAATTATCAATTGTAGTTTAATGTCTACTTATTATATTTTTAAAATTTAAAACTTTTTAATTTTTCTTTTTTGGTTTATTTGAAAGGAAAATTCAATTTTAATGTATTCATTAAAAAAAAAAACAAAAAATTAATAATTTTAATTTTTTGTTCACCCGAAATAATTTACACAGAAAATCCTACACACATATGTACATATTAACGCATCCAAGTATATTTAAGAATATATACATACATATATGCATGTACATAAATATATTTCAGCTAGT